AAATACGATAAGAAGCAGTGGCACAGAACAAGCGGCGAAGTTGATTCTCGTGTATATATCATTTGTGTAATAGCCATATTAAATCTAATTAATGAAGCACAGCAAAATTTTAAACAGATTTGACCATTTCTTACATCAAAGGCAAAGTTTCATGAAGGTAACTCTCAAAAAGAACTTTCATGAGTCAGTTCTTGAATGCATCAATGAAGACGTGAATTCATAACTGAACTGGCAATGAATTGGAGATTTTTGTGGAAAGAAAAGAGACTTCGTCTTCCAAGCACTGGACAGCATTTGTGAAGGAACTGGACAGGATGCCTACCGGGTCAGGTAGGTTAAATAAATATCAGATGTTTTTAAAAATTATCAGTTAAAGTCATGTAAAAGTCAGGTTATTTTAAGTAGTTTTTAAAGCATTTGTGAATGAGTACATTTTCACGGTGGCTTGTGATGACACAAGAGGAATCTTGTTAGCAATTCAATGCACAGAAAAACAGGGTAATCAGACTAAATCTGCGCTGTATTTCTGAAGGGAAGTTGAGTAGGTTGTATAGAAAAAAAGGATCAAGCAGGAAGCAGGAAAGCAGATGAAAAGAAAGATATCTTATAAGACAGAAAATAGAAGACTCCTTTTACAGTAGAAGAAACAAAGCTATTGCAGAAGTTGTCAGACTAGATGAAGAAATCACTACGATAAGATTGGCCATAGTAAATAATATATTAAAACTTTAGAAAATATAGTAATTTGCAAAGTTATGACTTTTGTAGTATATTTTTTTCTTCAGTGTAATAAAGAAAATATCAAAGATACAATTGACTCAATAATCATAAAAGCAAGTAAGAAGTTTGGTGTACTAAGTTATTTGAAAGTAGTTTAATAGATTCATGGATTTCCGTTTTATGAATTCCATGACATTAGTAGATTTATATATTTCACCTTTGTATGTGCACAATGGATAATGGTCAGGTGAAACTGACAAAAGTAGTCTATGTAAATATCATATATTAAGAAGTTTTAAAGAAACGTTTTTTTTTTTTTAACCTAAATGCACTAAAAAGTAAAAATAAATTTCCTTTAGCTTTCACAGTACTCTTGTTATTAGGCGACCACAAACAAAAACGTGGGGCGCTCATGGGAAACAGTTAAAAATTGATAGAATATTTAACTAAGAATATTTCTAAATATGAACGCCCCACGATATTAATTTTGGTCGCCTAATACCAAGAATACTGTGAAAGCTGAAGAAAATTTTGTTTTACTTTTAAGTGCTTTTATGTGAATAAAAAGAGTCTTTAAAAATTTTTAATATTTATTTTGAATACTGAATAATCGAAATTCTTCTTGTTCTAGCACTTAATTGGGAAGTGGTGAAAAATTCAGTTACAAGATTTTATACACATAGTACGAGTAAAAACGGGCGATGATTTACCCTAGGTGAAATGCCATCTGTTATCAGATTTTTACAATTTTAATTTTTCGTTAATTTTTAGCTAATTGATAAAATTGTTTGCAAACTCTAAAGAAGTGTATTGTCGTCGGGATTACAAATCGGCATGCAAAGTTTCAACTAAATTCGGAATTGAATGAAAATTGAGTTACTTGATCTGACGGATAGACAGATTGACAGACCGACAAGTTAATAAAAAGTGTATAAAAATAGACAAGTGTCTAGCACGATAGATCATTAGTTCTAAATTATGCCGCTACGGTGAACAGCGCCAATGATTTGAAACTGGATTTGTTTCAAATTATGAATGCTTTATTCGTAATTTGTATTAGTTAAAACTGAAAATAAATTAAATTTATGGATAGACATCTTGCTTAATGAATTTTTCCATAAAAATAATACTGTAAGATTATGAGATGGAATTATGAATAAAATAAAACATAGAGGGACTTAAAATTTGATATTCTCCCATGACACAAGTGCTATTATTATTATTAGTAATTGAACGTTCTGTAATATGCATAAGTATATAGCTTAAGACTTGAAGATGTTTCGCTTTAATATGTCTATTTAAGCTTTGCTTATATTTCAAATTACACTCACCTCATTCCATTTTATGCGACGAACAATCCGCTGTATATTAGCAAAATATTTTCTCACCGCTAACCGAAAACGAAACAGACACAAATCCAGTTCCCGCCATTGACGCTGTTCGCCGTAGCGTCATAATTTAGAACTAATGCTCACTAAGGGGCTAGACGCTTGCTTAAAATAGCTTCTGGTAGACACCCTGCTGTAATGTACCTCGGTGTAACAAAATTTTAACAATCCAAGACATTTTGCCTACACACAGCGACAGTAGAAAGCTTAAAAACACATCTTAGAAATTCCAAGTTAGAAGAACTGAAAAGCCCTGGTTTGTTAAACATCCAAAGAGATAATAAATGTCTCTAGGGAGGAAGTTGTGGATAAATTTGCCAATTCAGATAGTTTAATCAAACAGTATATTTATATAACTTTTGTACTAGTTCAGTTTCTTTTTGGTCTACTGTATTGAGTTACTATATGTATCTATATTATAAAAATTAATAAACTATATTATGAAAAAATAGAGTTTATTAATTTCCCATTCTTTTAAAACTCCTGTGCACGGCTTGTATGCACTGCAGTATAATTCATTTTACAAATCTTGACCGAGTGATGAGCGGTAGCCTACTGGAGAAGTATTATAAAAGTTTTATAAAAATAATTTATTCCGGTGACTGCTCATAACAATACGAATTTTAAAAAAGATTTCTGATTACAATTCAAATCCTTCAGACTTTAATTGTATAACAGTATACTCTTATTTTGTACCAAGTATTTTATGTCACCGAAGTTTTTGATTATCTCAGGTACTCTCGCGGTTCACCATTACTTTGAATAATCGGGAATCTATTGTAGTAACATTTGTTCATTACAATTTGGATTAATCTGGCCTGCAATGTGATCAGACAGTATAATGAAGGATGCGAAATAAAATTACACTTGAATTATCCGGGGAAAATATTACTATTTTATATGTTATTTTACGAAGAATCTATTAATATTTAAGTTTTTTCCCATGCCACGATGCGTATAGAAAAAAGACCAAGTTAGTGTATTCACGGAAAGGCCAAAAATGAAAACATATTAATAAAAACAAGTCATTTATTTTAGACAAAGATGATAATTCAAAATTTATTTAGTCCATATAAATTTCATATCTGATCTGATGGGCTTAGAATATCCAATATTTAAATTAAATTACGACACGATATGGCCAAGGCTAGCTCAGACCCCGCACTTTCAAATTTCCAAGAAAATTTGATTTAAAAAATTATTTTTTTCAAATATTTTGCACCGCTACTAACAACTTTTTCCAGTAGCCGGCAAAACCTTCAGCCAGCCCTGAATACCACTGACGTTAAAATTCATAGTCTAACGTGATGCATTTCTTCGAGTGTTAAGTTGTGGCCTAACAAATCTCTTCTTTTGTGTTACATTGTGGATACGTAATGCGAAAGACGTGAGAATTTTTTACACGAAATAGCATTTTTGATCATTTCCAAAAATCCATTTCGTTACATTACTTTGGCAATAATTATAAATTTATTAATTTTTATTTATAGAAGTAAATGTTCTTAAAACGCATCATGATTACTTTAAATAATGAAAATTTTATATTATAAAATTCAAACTGTCCAACTTAAATATAATAAAACGTCTTCATCGATTAATTAAATAATTTTCAAAGTTGTGTTAAGGCATAAAATTATTATTAGTATTATAAATATTTAAAATAAACTATTAAAACAGTTATAAAAAGTGAGCAGTGTTCTTATGTTAAATGAGATATTAAAATAATTAAAAACTGCAAAGACAATTGGTTTTTTAGTGGATGGAGTCTTTATTATATAAGGACAAAAACTTCCACAGAGATTTCAAAGACAATTTTGTCATGTTCTAGTGTTACAAAAAGTTTGAAAAGATGACAATAATTATGAATGAATTGATCATTATACATACTTACTACAATTTATGTAATTTAATATACTGTATAAAAAAATAATCATTAGATTCCAATAAAGCTGGAAAAATTTGTGTGCCACTTGCCAGGGGAATGAATGGTATTGAGTGACTGCTAGTAGCATCCAATGATTTTCAAAATGGTAATTTGGATGGAGAAAATATACTGATTCTTTTAAGACAGCTTAAATTTGAAGGCAAACTTGATGAATAGTTTATGCACAGATGACACTTATGAGAAAAATTACATCCAAACAATTGTTTCAAAATATAAAGACTGTTTTCAAATAAGGCCATATTTTGGATTCATTCCAACAGCAAGTAGTTTAACAGATTGTCTAATCATGTTTGAATTTTTACAGGTGAATAAAGATATACAAATGGAAGTCATGTGTGAATATTCACTTTAATGCCATTTAAAAATTCCAAAGAAAACCAGAAAGAGTAATTACATAAAATTGAATATTTGTTCAATTTCAGTCTGTATAAAAACATCAATTTATTATCCATGATTTAAACGATTATAAATATTTTCCTAGATAAATTTGATTATATTTATTATATTAAATTGTTTTAAAAGATTTTTCTGTATTTGAAATATTAAGTTATCTTCCTTTAAAAAATTCTGTTCTATGGTCTTAAAAAATGGCATATAAAGTAAATTATACAAAATATGTAATGCAAAAACTAATTTTCTTAAAAATGAAAATTATAATTTTTTTTATATAATAACCAGAAAACATTCCCTGGCAAATGGCATAATTCCATTTGGTACCAGGAGGATACTGAGGTAGTTATTAAAAAAACCCAACCACTTAATTAAGAAAGTGGTATTTATATTTAATAACAAACAAAATTTAACTAATAAATCATCACATAAAAGAATTTAGTCATACAGAAAGAAACATTTGCTGCAACATAAAAAGTTATATAATGATAGTTTTATGCAATGCAATTTTATTTTGAGCTTCAAACCAATGAGGATATTTTATAAATGAATAAAAATATATATATTTGTGTATTTGTAAACATATAATAAGCACCAGAATGCAATTTATGTCGTTTTGTCGAGCAACTTGGCTTTAGTTTCATCCAGATACTGCATATTTGCATGCATTTAAATACAATACTTTAAAATCCGAATGTAATTCTATCAATACTACAGTTCCATTTTTTAAAATATTCTTATGTCAATTATAAAAATTCATAAAACTATGTCAGGAAGAAATAATTTAAAATTTTTTGTTTCAAATGTATAATAACCAAAATCAATATGAACATAAGATTGAATATATTTATATATATTTATATACATAGATATCAGTTTATTTGCAAACTATAATACTAAACACTAGTAAATAATTTTTTCTGGAAATAATATCCACTTAGAAATTGGAAAAGCTTTTAAATATATATATTAGATATTATTGTGAAGACTTTTTACTGATACTTACATCTGGAAGTTCTAAACTTTTCACATGAACAATCCTACGCTGCTTCAATTTAGTCAAGCAGCACACTACTTTGTACTGTTTAGAAATTTCATTATGTGAATATGGGGAGAGGAAACAGGCAGAATGTGAGATAAAGTGGAATGACATACAAAATTAGACTGCATAAGAATGTGATTTTACATATATTTACATTGTGAAAATGTCTGACAAGGCATTGGATGATGAACTGTTACATCTTGACAGCAACCACTTACAGAAATCAATGTGTTACACATTATATGGCTCAGTCTCAATGTACACAATAAAATATTGGAGTTATGGATACAAACAGCAATGATTACCATTATTTGAGCATACATTACTTTTCATTCAGAATTAGTAACATAAGCTATTATGTGCAATAGTTGAAACATACAAAGAAATTAGCATGTATTAAACTTGTAGCCTAAGGTTAGAGGACAAAACTGTTGGACATTACCATAACACAAAATATGTACTATAGAATCATTGGATATTATATACATCGCCAATGCCCATGTGTCTACGATACACATCAACCCAAGTTCGACATATTAATTACACAAGAATGGTAACAGCCAAGAGGGGGATTTATTTATTTATTCACAGCTCCCTGAGTATAAAACCCTCTAGGCTTACACCGATAGTACAAAAATAATGAGGTAGGTCAAAAAAATTTCCCACTGCCCTAAAAAAACCCTCACTGGGCTCTACTCAAATCATTCCTTCCCTTCAACCTTTAAAAGTGAAAGAAATAGGCCAATCATATACTACCCTACCCACACTGTGCTTATGATAAGTTGATCAGCAAGAGACTATTTGCAGACTCATCTTCAACTCTCTTCTTTTTTAACATTTTTGTACTTAAAACATTGTTTTATTATCAATTCAGAATTACTTTGTACATCTGAATTAATACTGAAAACACATTTATGATCCAATATCTTCTCCTTAATCTTTATTTTTTTTCTTTTTTCTTAAATTTTCTTCTACTCCATGGAATCTTGCTGTAAAGGCACTAGGAAATAAGGTGTGAAAGGGTGAATATGAGAGACCATTACACTTACAGCAACTTTTAAAGAAAAAACAAACACTGCTCTTATTTTTCAATATACCCAATTCTAAAAGCAGACCATTCTGGATATGGAACAGCACATACTGAGAATGTTACCAAAGCAAAGAATGTAGAAAAATTTTGTGCTATGCAGCAAAACTTCTGTGAATATATATCCTCTATCAGTTTGGTCTTAATTGCTAATGACAATCTACTGCATGTTTATTGTTAACTTTCCACATCCACATTAATAGCATCATAATGCTATCTGCTATTACTATTGTATTTATGTTGTATCTTTTGTAGGATATAAATCTAATATTTACTAGAATTATCCAAAATATCTGCAACTTAGTTACTTCCTTTACCTAAAAGTGATACTAAACATTTAATTGGACATTGTTTATTGATGAAATGGTGTCACAGAAAGCTTTTTTTAAAATTTACACAAGGTGAATTTTACCATCATCCAAATTACAAAGAAAGAAGAAATCTCTATCCTTCAGGCTACTTTTAGGCAACATACATTCTTTAATACAGACATTAGCCACTTCACACCCATTTTTACTATAATATATTCTTTACAGTAGAAAATTAATAAAATTATTTCTTATTACCTTTTTTTTAAATGCCATAAAAAAGTAAGAAGAAATAAAATTGTACAAAAGCTAGAATATCAAAACGTTTACTATTAATTCTAATTCTTAAGATAGTGTTATTCAACATTATCTACTGTTTGCAAAGGTGGTGCTTATGTTGGCACAATAAAAGAATTCTATATTAAAGATAATGCAAAACTTATTTTTATATTTAAAATATTTTTTTTAATTCAAACTAGTTAAAACGATCTTTTCCTGATATCTGACTAACAACTAAACGTGATAACTTGAATATAAATAAAAAATTAGGAAATGAATTCATTAATTACTCTTCTACATTTAACGTACACTCTATGCATCAATAATACACCACATTTATCTGCATAGCACAGTTTTTAATTGACATATTAATATTTCTTTACTTTTTCTTTAATCTAAACATTGCATAATATACAGTGCAGTGCTCCACTATCCATATCTTATAAATGGTTTCTAAATGAATACATCTAGCCACAATGTACAATTTATCAAACAAAAGCATTGTCGGTATTTTCTTTTCATATCTGAAATTACCACAAAAAATGTCCCAATTTATCAAACCTAGCTATGTAATATCAGAGATTAAAAAAAAAGTGCTAATCAGAGAAGAACATTTATTGATGAAACATAAGAATGAGGTAGAAACAAACAGAAGTATATCCCTGATATTTTAACATACATGTATGGCTTTAAAAGAAACAATAAACTTTAGATTATTGAAGAAATTAACAGTGAACTTTTCTGCCATCGATAAAAATGATGTTGTCTATATTGACATAGAATCATTATTACTTAACAGTTTTTTAAGATATAAATACTGTAAAATAAAAATACTAACTGTAAAAAGAACAAAGAATACTTTTTATGATAGAACAGACAATAATTTTTATCAGTAGAAGAAAATCAAAAAACAATCTAATAATATCACTAAACAACTGAAGCTGAATGATGATAATACTTTTTAATATATTCTTTATCATTTTTATTTATTAAAATTACCAAAAATAAAAGAAAGCAAAGTTTGTTATATTAACAAAAGCAACAATATAAGCAACAATATACTAATTGGCACAGATAAATATTTCGACAATGTTGAGCTGATCCAGAACAATATAAACTGGAGCATCATGCAAACTTTGGAACTAATAATTCATCTTTTTTCTGCTGCTGTTTATCCTCAATAACATCAGCAGCTGATTAAGAACACTGGCACACAATTTAGGAACTGCCAATTTACCTACTGTTTCTAATTCAGCAGGTTTTCATTATATAACAAGAAGTGCCAAATAAGAGCGCGGGTTAAAATTTATTTTAGAGTTTTTTTTTTTCTGGTTTTTAATTTTGAGTCTGTTTTCTAATAAATAAGAAAGGAAAAAGAGTAATGATAAGAGATAAGTAAAAGAGGAAATGTGAATAATATTTAGAAACTAAAGAAGAAACATAGAAGAATATGTTAGAAATTAAATGTTTGTGCAAATGAATACGAGATTCTTTTCTTAATAAATGTATATTTTGACTTAAGAAATAAAATTGGCACAAAGGAATTTTATGTTTAAGATAGAGAAAACAAATATAATAAATCCTTAATTATCCATTCAGCATTAAATCATTATATTATTTCCATGTCATATGGTTTTAGAATAAAAATTTATTCTATTTTCAACATATTCTGAATGTTATCATTTGAACTTTGGAATGACATATTTTGCAAAATTCTAATTTTTAAAAATTACCAGTAATCAACTAAATAACTGAGTTTCAACTGTGAAAAATATCTATGTGTTATCTACTGTACATTTACTTAAAATTTTTTAATGAAAAACTATATAAAATTAAGAGTGCATTGCATAATTTTTTTAACAAAAGACTGAGTGCAAATACAATACATAAAATAATATGAGAAACTTTTTACATCATGTACAATATGCTTTGTTAAAAACCAATTAATTGGATTTAATTGAAATGGAAATTTTCTTCTTTCTATTAATAGTTTAAGCTACAAACAAAAAGATAGCTTTACTACTAACCTTATTATCAAGTACATCTCCTTCCCCTTCATGTACTGTATTTTTAAATATAAGTTTCTTAAATCATAATTCACAGATATTTTATTATTTAATTTTCATATAAAGGATTGTGGAATGTAACCAAGTAATGCTGAAATTCCACAAACAGAATATTGTCCTTTTCTGTTATGTTCTATTCATCTGTACCAATATAGGACCATAATGACATCAATTATTCATTTCCCTGAGTATCAAAACAAAAGCTGCTTCTTTAAAATTCACAGTCAGATTTCATACAGCAGTTCAGAAGCATAAAATTCAATATAATAATATGTGTAGTATGCCTTGTAAGATGGTGTTACTCAATCAAATTCAAATTTTCTTCTTTCTGTAAATCTTGAAAATGAATATCGTTGTGAAAACAACTATCTGGCAATTCTTGTTATTACTATTTATAGGATAAGGAAAAAATCATATATAGAGTCAGATAGTAAAAATGTATTAATGACATAAACGCATGTACATCTTTACTAACATAAATATAAAACAGCTTGTAAAAAATACCCGCTTCTATCAAAAAAGACCTGATCTGAATAATAAGGGAGAGGTGTCTGTCTCTCTTTGTAGGCCAATATCAGATTATTTTTACATTAGGAGAATGCTGCCAGTGGGAGTGACTGAGTGAGGATACTTTGGCTGTAGTGTGGAAGCAGATGACTTACAATTATCTGCAGATTCTGGATCAGTAGAAGACTGCATTTCACTGAAATCGTTCATAGCACAAACAGATGAGGAGTCATATATATTTGGTGCAGGGGAGGGAGCATGTACTTGAGGTTTGTTGCTACTATTATTTTTTTCATCTGTATCTTCTGCTTGGCAATGAGATGATGTGAGAGATGTGAGACTCTGAGTGTGGGATCTCATTTCTGAGTTAGTTTTGGAATTTGTCTCTTTGTGATTAATGGAATTATTTTCATGTTGTGTTGATGTTTCAGCTTCCAATACTATATTGTCTTTATTTATAGATTTATTCTGTTGATGATTTGTTTGCAGTTTGGAATTTATATCATCAACTTGGTGAGAATTAGAAGCCTGTATTTCATTTATATCATTCCAATCTTCAGAATCCCAGCAATCTTTTACTGTATAACGAAGACGATTTTTAGAGACTGGAAGGCACATATCATTTTCTTCTGATTCATTCTATATAAAATATATTGATATTGAATATTTATTTATTTTTAATTAAAAGTTTGTATATAATAATAAGAAATTAAATTCCATTAATTAATGAATTTATATAATAATTAAATAAAAATTTTAAAGTGGCTATTTATACATACAGTATGTACAGTATACACAATTGGCTATTTATATATATGATAGGTATACTCAATTGGCTATTTAACCCTTTTAAAGACATGATGTAAAGATGACAGTTTTAATGTTATTTATAATTTAGGATATCCTAAATTTCTATTATTGATATCCTAATTATGATATTTATTATTAGAAATGAGAATTAAAAATAATGGCATTGAAGAAAATCTTGATAGCAAAATATCAAAATTTTACAATACATCGATGAAAACATATTCTTGTTCATTTTGGAATTCTTTTAGTGCACCATGTCGTCATATTCTTATGATAAGAAAATATAATAATTTGGACATACTGTATTTTCAAAAACTTCTTTCATGCAAGATATATTATTTCAATTGAAAATGCACTAAGTATGGATACAGATGATGTAAATGTAGATATCGATGATCATATTGAAGATGAAACTTTTACTGATGATTTTGATTGTCCCAACAAAATATTATCAGATAGGGAAAAATTTAATACAGTACTGGCAATAACTAAAAATATTGTGGATATTTTGTCTAATTATGGAATGCAAACCTTCAATAAATATGTAGAGGAATTAAAAGTAATAGAAAGCAATGCAAAAAATGGAATTTCTCTTTTTGAACATAAAAATAGTGGGCTTAGTACAATTGAACCAGAAGAATCTGAAGAACAAATTTGGTCTAATAACAAGCCCTGTTCAAATCGATCAAATAGGAACTTAAAATTCAAAACTAAAATTAAATCCAAAGGACGTCCGAAGATAAAGACTAAGCAGACCACTTTTTACAAAAAAAAAAAAAAAAAATTAAAATACAGAATAAAAAATAATATATTTATTTTACTTTATTGGTATACCTGCCAATCTATTTTAAATTTCATTACCTATATTTCACTGATTTAATGATACTTCATAGTTTATTGATTACTTTATTGAACAACATTGTAACTGAACTTTAATAAATAAAACTATAATTATTTATAATTGTGTAGTTATTATCAAAATATTAATTGTAATAACAGCGTATACAGCCAGTATCTGGCCGGAATATAGGAACATACAGTCAGTATGTATAAATAGCCAATTGAATATACATACTGTATGTATAAATAGCCACGTCTTAAAAATTATTCTATTAAAAAGAAAACAAAAGATATTTTCCTTGTTATTACTGAGAAATATAAATACAGTAAGTATAATATCTTTATAATTTTTAATTCTTAAAAAACTAAATTACAAAAGTTTTTAAGCATATGAAAGTTAAATACAGTATATTCTAGGTAATAAACGTAAGAAAAAAACAACAACAGAAATTATATATAATAGTATGTATTAGTATGTATATTCTTTAATGTATATAAAAATTCTACTTATGCAAATTTAGATAAGTGTTAAATGTTAAAAAGTAAATAAATTATTTGGGAATGAATTATATATATATATATATATATATATGTCTTTTAAAAAATTTTATGAAACTGAAACTAATAGTAATAATGCTAACAGACAAAAAGGATATTACAGAATAAAATTATCAATATTTGCATGATTATTTTCAAAAATTCAAACAAAGTACAATGGAGCACTGTTTACACATCACTCAGGAACTGATGAAATTTAACACAGGATAAATAAAATAATTAACACTGCACAGCGATTTTACAAGATTTTAAATTATACAAAGTGTAACCAAAGGTACATCTATATATCGTTTGTGTACTCATTGTTTTTTATGTAAGTTCTCTACTGTAATAGATAAAAAATATATATTGTATTATAGTTGATTGAAGGGGCAAAGCCCGAAACGAGTACAAAACAATGTACTGTATCAACTCAACCAATAAAGATATTTGATGGAAAAACTTGCCATGTGTCTTAGGAATACAACACAATACTAGTGTTTACTATGCCAGAATGAAATAAACTTGCTTAGTTAAAGGAACATTCTTATTAACTCTCTTGCTGTTGCAAGGTACTGCAAATATGTATTTCCCCTATATTGTGATTGCTTCACACCCATTGCAAATAATCTTCCTCTATAAGAGACAATATACTTTGTGTGATCAATTTTATGCCATTTAATTCTTGAAATGTGAAGAGATGACTATGAGAATGGAATAAAGAATGTGTTCTAGAAATTCTATGTATGTTTTATAAAAAATACTGCAATATCCACTATTGTCAACATAGAGTAAATGATGTATAAATGAAACTCAATGAATTTAGATGCACAAACAAAATAATATTAAATAAAATCGCTGCAAGTTATGAAGAATATGAAGAAAAATACTTCACTATTGAAAGAAATAGGAATGTTTTAAAACCAACCGAGATAGATGTTTAAATGAGAAACATAAATAGTACTCCACAGTATTCATTAAAAAATGGAAAAATAATATTTCTAATATCACAGAAATTTTTTTAATTAAAGATTTACAATAAGTGATATTAATCATAAATATTGAAAAAGATAGAAAAAATCCTACATTAAAAATTATTTGTTTTAATATTAACATATTTTTAAATTAACAAGTAACATCACCCAACTACCAGGTCAAACCTATGGTAATCTTTATATGTTTTGGTCCATCTACTGAGTTGATTTTTTTTTACCTTTAAATTTGTGCAATTATGCAATCTGTGGGCTCTACAGAGAAACAGAGTATGAATATGGCAAAATTTTAAAAATTATGTTCAAACAAAGACTTATAAAATGTTAAGAATAAACCAAACTGTCTTTTAATATTAAAGTTATTTACTTAAAAATATTTTAAGTACTAACAAGTACTTTCATCATTTCAAAACATTATCTTTAGGCGAAGCTTTTTATATAAGTTATGAAGTGAAGCATCTTGAATCAATAACACTTTAAATGGATTACTTTATGAGCTAGTGGGGTTATCATGCTCCAAATAGCACTACATAACAGTAGGAGAAACGATATTTTGTGAATAAATAAGTTGTTTATTAGGCATACATTTACCTTAAACTAGCATAAGATATTTCCTACAATTATCATATGCTTATAAGATTTACATGTGCAGATATGCAGAGAAAAACCATCAAAACAACACTGAAACCAGCTACAGTAAAAGATCTTCGCAATAATGCATTTTGCTGAAGTATTGATTATAATACAATAGAGCCTTGCACAACTCACAAATGATGAAAGTACCATCAGAATACCTCCCTATTACTGACACTAATCTTGAAGCAAAAGTCAACAGGGTATTGGAAAGACTGTCACTCCTGTAAAATTGCACTTTTGAACCATGCAAACTTAAACCAAAGTAACAATATAAATACGCAAGGGTGAGAAAAACTGATGATGAATAAGTGATTGGATTTTCAAGATTGTATTTCTGTGATGCAAGTGAATGTTGAGGTTATAAAGTAATACACAGTCAGGAAATTTCTAGATAAAGTTTTTCCATATTCAAAGGAAGAAAACACCAAAGACTATACTATATCTGTAGTTCATTCAACTTCATTTAATAAAATAACTCTTCTCTTATTCCTTCTAAGGTAATGGCTTTTGAGGCATCCCGTGAATCTGTGATGCCTCCACTACTAACTCGTTTTAATTAAGTAACTCACATAAAGTACTATTAATTTATGCAAAATGAATCACTATCATATTTTTGTTTGAACACAATTTTCAAAATTTGTTACAATTATATTCTGTTGCCCTATAGTGTTCACAAGGATGTATCGTGAAAAGTTTCAAAGTCAAAAAATATAACTCAATAAAGAGACCAAAATAAGTTATGACACAGCGTGAACAAAGTGGCCCTTGCACCAATAAAAGTCAACTATCCATCTATCCATCCAAAATGTGCAAAACTAATCATAGCTTTTGACTTCATGATTGGATAATAATGTTAACAAAATACAAATTTTTTATTTCACCATTAAAAGTAAATACATAAATAAAATAGCAGATTATAAATACCTGAGAACTTTCTGGAATAATTTCTGAAATTTTTGCATTACTATCAACCCCATTCTGATATGCAAGCAGAGGATGGGTAATACCATTGCTACCACCATTGCAAATGGTAGTAGGATATCCTCCCTAAATAATATATGTCAACTTTTTATTAAATTCTGAATTTGCAAAGCATGAAGTTTAAGAATAAGAAACAATAATAAGTAATTTTTCAAAAGTAAAAATAATCCATGAAACTATGATTAAAAAAGAATTCATTTTTTCTTAAATTGATTCAAATGATTCTAAAAACACATTTTTCAAAACTAAAAAATAATGAACAAAGAATGTAACTATAAATCTCTAATATTTCATGATTAAGGCTATAATAAATATTTAAAACTTTCATACAAAAGATATTTAATTTGATAGAATTTTAAATATTTTTGAATTATATAAAGTTTTCATTAATACTAGCTTTGCTTGCCATAATTTATGTATACTTTAATATTTATATAAAATAAAAGTATGTATGAATTCGTAATTTTGAATTATATTTTTTGTATAACTAAAATTATTAATCCAAAGTTTTGACCTCACTAAGTTACCAGATTGCATTATATCAGACTTTGTTCTTAAATCAAGAATGCCAAATTGTTCCATTGTCTAAGGATTTATATATTTTTATTTTAAAAAGATTCAGCATCTTCAATGTTGCAATACTATCCTATGTTATTGAAGTCAGTATTTTTTCAATACAGTAATACCTCGACTTACGCGAACCCGGAGTTACGCGATTTTCAAATCTCGTCAATTCGTCTTTTGTTTGAGCAGCACGCAGCTCTTGATTACTCACTCCCCCCACACTATTGTTCAGCTTACATGTTCGGATGTGTCGCGCGGAATCAATGCATAGCTACAATTTATTTTGTGTTATTTATTTCTGTGTTTGTTATATCTACGGAGACTCGAGAGACTCTATATGGTGATTTCTTGTAACCATGAATGAATCAAAAGATGTGATAAGATTAATGAGAACATTTATTTGCTTACATAGATATGAATTTGGATTTTACACAAATTGCGAAATTATACCCCGACTTACGCGGTTATCGCTCGGTCCCACCTATCGCGTAAGTTCGGGGTATCACTGTACAATTATTTTTTAATAATAAAATATTAATCAATAATCAAACTAAGTTCCAAATGTGTATCTAATGAAATTTATATATATTTATTTGTTAATTATTATTAAACAATATTGGTTCCTACTGCCATATTAAGACATTTTTAATAAATTCAGGAAAAGTTTACTATGATTAAATTTTTTAGTATTACACTGAAAAAATTAATTATTCTAATATTATTAAATATAATTCTGTTTAGATCTACAAGTTTTCTTTAGTGTTTTGTTTATCTAATAATTAGAGAACATTACACATTTTCAAAATTTTAAAGACATTAAAATTATAAAATTGTTTTATATTAAAATATTTAATAATAGATAAATAAAAATCTTACTTTTGTATCTAAATGGCGTTCTGTGGTGCCATTTGGAAAATGTGACAACATAGGAGTAAAGCAGTCTAATTCTCGCCATTTTGAGCTAATAGCTTGTTTTTCATTTCCATTACAAGAAGCATGACCATTTAATTGTGGAACATGGCCATTTCCACAACATACAGAATATCTATTTCCAGGAGGTGGTGGTGGTGGAGGAAAACATCTATAAATAATACATTAATGATTTTACAAAATATTACAGCAATTTAATTTTATTTAGAGTCATTTTTTACTATTCATTTCACAAAATCTTTTAAGAATATTAATGCAATAAAAATAATTAATATTTTTAACAAAAATTTATTGAAAAATCCTCCTGAAAAATCAGAAAGGTATCAGTTATTATATTATTATTACAGTAGAGCGTCGATTATCCGAATCAATTGGGGTCTGGGGTTGTTCAGAAAAATCGATATTTCGGATAACAGATTATGTACGAAAAAATATATTAATTTATCCCATGTTGAAATTTTTCTCTGTTGCATGTCGCTTCACGTTGAATTTTCGTCAATGTTAAGCCTAACGAAGACTATTGTATCGTTAAAAATTATTTTTTTATTTTGTACAAACAAAATAAATATATTGAAAAATATAAAAACAATAAAAAATTATACTTCAGAAGTTAATTTAGTATCAAAAATGTAAAATATTTGAGTAGCCCAAGACATAGCCAAAGATTGCAGCATCACAGCACTGGCGAAAATTTAAATTTGCCAACTGGAATTCTTTCAGATAATTGACGTTTCGGATAATTGACTTTTGGATAATTGACGCTCTACTGTATTATTATTTAATATGTATATTACTATTATCTAGAGCACAAAATGTACAAATACTAATTATAATTTATTTTTCTCTTTAAATAATTAATTATTCTTGCTAAATCTATTTATTAAAATTTTAATATTTGGTCTAAATATAAACATAAGAGAGGAGCAGTTTTTCATAATTTTTTTCATAATCATCACATCAATTGTGAAATTATTGCAGAATGAAAATTTTAGCTAAATATTATTTTTAAAATCTTATAGTACAGTGGAACTCTGATACAGTGAAAGGCAAGGGAGTACTAGTTTTAGTTCATTGTATCCAAAGTTCATTATAACCATATATCAAAAGAACAATTAAAATGCACTGAAAGATGCAATAGTTCACTCAATATTCAGTAGAACTGCATTTATGAACACTTTTATTGTCCTTTATGACTACCTAATTTTGTACAACTTTAAAAAAAAATCTATAATCAACTTTTATTTGTAATTCTTAATGAGATTTTCATTTAGGGCTTTCTCCAATTGACAAACACTCTTTGAGAATATATCTGCATCTGATTCTTCTTGAAGAATCAGATGCAGATATTTAACCAAGTAAGGTTATATCTAATCTAATATTCTTCTGGAAGTGAAGACTCACTCGAGGTCCGGGTGGTGTAACTGGCAAGTGCACCGCACGGCAAGCGAAGGTTGTGGGTTCAAGCCCCGTCCCGGGCCAGTTCTTTTATTCCAGAAGGTTCTAAAATTAATTTAATAATTTATTTATTTAATTTTAATTATTAATTTACTTAAGAGATGGCGCCTAATGCCTACCTCTAATGACAAATTACTTTATTCTAATAATTTAATTAGCCATATAGTAGCCCGATCGTTTGGCAATTTACATATGCTATTCGGGCTTTAAGTTGTTGTTGTTATTCTTCTTGAAGTTTGACAAGTCCTCACATTCATATTATTTCCGGCACCTTCTTGGCCTCTTCAATATTTGGAATAAGAACAATTGTGTCACACTCAACTCTTTCTTTTTCTTCAACTGTAAAGGCACTTTCTGTAGCAAGATCATTGTCAAAAGTGCAAATGTGACTGAATATAAAAGGATGAAGAATTCTAGGTTAATGAGAAATGTGAGTCATCGAGTGTTAATGTTAGTAACTAATACAGTACTGTACATTCTAGTAAACAACAAATGTTTTCTAGGAAAAGAAGCAGCACATGGTTTACCAGGTGTTTAGGAGTTCACTGGAGGCAGTAGACTGTAATCGAGGTCATTGAAATAGAGGTTGAGAATAATTTAGTTCAATGTAACTGAGCTTCCATTATAACCATGTTCACTATATCCAATGAAAAATGCATTAAAGACATAGTGGATTTGCTGGGACTAGACTGTTCAGTTCAATAAAACCAAGGTTACATTTTGGATATAGTCCAATTAATAATATTTATATATCCAAGTTCATTGAATGCGAGTTCCACTGTATTAAAAAGTGAATTACTATTTTTTCATCTTTAATAATTTCTCAAAATTAGTTGCATTTTCATGTAGGTTTTTACGCTTCTTATTATTAAAATTATTAATAAATAATAAATAGCAATAAGTTATTAATTAATTAAACAAAAACAAAAAAATAATTATTATACTTCAGATTAAATACAATTTTCAAACATTAAAATTTTATTTAGTTGAACATTTTGCTAGAACATTAAAAATTTTGTGATAAAATTATCACAAAATATTTAAACTTCTAGTACACTATCTGTCCAAAAGTATCCAGACACCCTCCTAAAGAAGTGGATCTGGTAGGTGATGGTCTCTGATGTGTAACGGAAAGGTATAAAAGTGTTGGTAGTGGTTTGTCAGGTCATATTTATGCATTTGTGAGACAATGAGGTAAGTCAAAGGAGCTTAGTGACTTTGATCATGGCATTATAGTGGGATGCCACCTTTGTGGAAAATTATTTCGTGAAATTTCGGACATTCTACAGAAACCAAAATCAACTGTGGGTGATGTAATTGTGAAGTGAAAATTTCAAGGCAGTGAAAGTGGAAAAAAATGATGTGGCAGGCCGAACAAAATTAGTGAATGCAGCCGTAGAACTCTGAAAAGGATAGTGAAACAAAATCACACACCCTCGTTGGTTGAAATCACTCAGGAGTTCCAAAGATCATCAGGCATTAGTGTTAGCACCAGGACTGTTCATCAAGAGTTAAAAAACCTGGGATTCCATGGTTGTGCAGTCGCTCACAAGCCAAACATCACTCTCCAGAATGTGAAGCATTGATTGCAATGGTACAAAGCTCACCATCATTGGACTGTGGACATGTGGAAAAGTGTTCTTTGGAGTGATAAATCTCGCTTTACAATCTGGCAGTCCAATGGAGGCATCTGGGTTTGGTGGATTCCCAGCGAGCGCTTCTTATATGACTGCATTGTATCGACTGTAAAGTTTGGTGATGGCAGCATCATGTTGTGGGAGTATTTTTCATGGTTTGGCCTGGGTCCCTTAGTTCCTGTGGTTGGAAACATGAACTCTAAGATGTATGTGGACATTCTGGACAATGCTGCTCTCCCAACTCTATAGCAATATTTTGGGGAAGGCCCATTTCTCTTCCAGCAGGATAACTGCTCCATTCACACATCAAGACTTGCGCAGGCATGGTTTGATGAAATGGGTGTTCAAAACTGGACCGGCCTTCTCAGATCCCTGATCTAAATCCCATAGAACACCTTTGGTACAAATTAGGATGCAGATTACGTAGCCAGCCATATCGACCATTCTCACTGCCAGCACTCACTTCAGCTGTGATGGACGCCTGAAAGTCAATTCCGATGGCCACCTATCAAAAACTAGTGGAAAGTCTCCCCAGATGTATGCAGGCTGTCATTGATGCAAAAGGAGGACCAACATCATATTAATATATGCCTCAGGACTCTCCGAGTTCATACCACTGGGTGTCCAGATATTTTTGACCAGATAATGTTTATGATATTTATTATATTATTTAAAGTTTCAATCATTATTATACATAAAATAAAATATGATCTTAATTCATAATAATAGTTTTATCTCTGTTATAAGGGATTACAGAAAACAGTATTAATTAATTTTTCATTATTAATTAAAATATTAATTGAATTTTTATACAATAAATGTGGGATTTGGGCAAGAAATAAAAAGATGAGAGTTGGCAAGAGTTGAAATGGCGCAAGAAGAGAACGAGACAACTGTTAAGGGAGGTGTGAAAAAGAATAAAAGACATTACAATCATAGAATATCATCGTTCTATTAGTAAGATGGTTTGAAGACAGTTGGAAGATTTAGCTGAATGCTGGAAGATTATTGTTACTTCTAGTTCTCTAGTTCTATCGTTATTCCTACAAATTTTGAGGGCTCAGCTGGAATTTGAACGAACTTCGTAAGAGAACTTTTAGAAAAGCAATAATGGAAGCCAGACAAGATGACTGAGTTAGTGACGCTACAGTGAACAATGAAGAACTATGACTGACTAATCTATTCTATCTAAGGACAATATGATGACAGATGTAAAACATCTTAAGTGTGCTGATTTGAAAATTGAACTAGGACAACGAAAATTGAAAACAACAGGTAGTAAAGATTGAAAATGGCACTTTTGATTGAGAATGCCAGAGATGACAACGTGCAAAATAACAACAATGTTGATGAAAGTAAGGGCGAAGATAGTAATATTATGTGACATAAAAGTGAGTACTCTAAGTCACTGTTTACCTTTAGAAATGTTGATGAATCCCTCGAAACGTTCAGTGGTAACGACATAAAAAAATGTCGTTAAGTGGATCTCCAATTTCGAAGACATGGTGGAAATGTTTAACTGGAATGGCATGCAAAGGATAATTTATGCAAAATGACTACTCAGAGGTTCAGCAAGAATGTACCTAAACTATGAACAATATAATAAATCATGGAGAGCATTAAAAAAAGCTCTTTGTGCTCAGTTTTCTCCAAAACTGAACAGTAGGAAGATTCACAAGCAACTTTTGATGAAGGTGAAGCATCAGAGTGAAACTTATCATGTATTGGATGATTGAAATTTCATCACAAATTACAACTGAGAAAGAATTGGTGATACAATACATGATCGATGGAATTCAGGATGACAAAATAAGTAAAACAGTGCTTTATGGTGCTACTTCTTTCAAAGAATTTTGACAGAAGCTGCAAGTTTATGAAAACATGAAATCAAGTTGAAAGCTAAATGCTAAAATGATGGTGGGATCGAAGAAGCTATATCATGAGATTAAGACTAATAATTCTTATGGGAATGAAAAATGTTGCTATAACTGTGGTGGGAAAAACCATATAAGTAAAAGTTGTCTAGAGAAAGACAAAGAAATGAAATGTTTTAGTTGTAATAATTTTGGTCATATCTCATCTCAATGTCCTCGAAATGCTGAGAAAAGAAGTTATGAAGTAAAAGGAAAAGAATTTAAATCAAAGCTTGTAAAAAAAGTCAAAATAGGGGAAGTGAGCTTTGCGGCACTTATAGATTCAGAAAGTGATATAAATTTGATGAAAGCCGATAATTACATAAAGATGGGCATGCCAAAATTAACTGGTAGTTCACTAGAATTTCATGAGTAAGTGAGCGAAAGAGTTCTACACTGGAAAGTTTTTGGACTGTAGTAAGTGTTGACGGATATCAATTTTCAATCCTCATTCATATGGTTCCTAGTTCATTCCTTGCTTATCAGTTATCTTTCGGAACAGACTTTCTGAAACAAGTTTATATCAGTTTAAAAGAAGGTTGTGTTGAGAAGATTATCAAAGCAAAAAATGCAGAAGTAAACATCTCAGATGTATACAATATCGATGTTGCCTGCGTAGATACTAATGGTGCTGGAGCTGGAGCCATATCAATGATGCAAGATATAGAGGAGAACTTCTAGATTTAATAAAAAAACTACAAAGCAGTTTGAGAACAAGAAACAGGAATCAAAATAAACATTATCTTAAAAAATGATGTTCCAGTTTGTCAACATCCAAGATGGCTATCTGCTAGTGTGAAGGCTGAAGTTAATGAGATGGAAAAATGGTTACACAAAGCATCTGAATAACCCACAGAAGATGAATGAATCAGAAGGGATATACCTGAAAGAGAGTATAAAAAACAGTCTCCAGAAAAATCGGAAGCAATTTTTAAGCAAGAAAATATTCCTGAAAAGACGGATTCTGTTGCAAGTCCTCTTCTAGACCAGGAAACAGAACCAAGTAAAACTGAAGCTGGAAAATAAAGTCAAGTTGAAGAAAATAAACATAATATCGTAGCTAGGCTCAAAAATGCACAAAAAAAAGCTAGTGAATTAATGGAGATAATTAATAAGATAGACATGGAAAAGGCAAATGATTACGAAGTAGAAAGAAAAGTGGGATTCTGTACAATAAAATGGATGGGAAGTCATTAATGGTGGTTCCCTTACAAATGCAAGCCAATATTACCAGAGAAGCACACAACCAAGGTCACTTTGCTGTTAAGAAAACCGAAGCACTGCTGAAAAGAGACTATTGGTTCAAGAATATGAAAAGTAAAATTGAGAAAGAAAAAGTTCTGTGTTTTGAGGAAGAAAGGGATGAAATTTGAGCAACAACAAAAAGAACATTAAGAAACTGCAAATGGAAAACAGGAAAACATTTAACAAGAAAAAGATATTCGTCACATTCTTAGTCAATGACCTGGTAGCTATAAGAAGAACTCAGTACAGGCCTGGCTGTGAAATCCATTGAAAATTCTTAGGGCCGTACAAAATCAGATAAGTTTTAAGAAATGACAGATATTTAGTCAAGAAAGTAGGTGATCACAAGGGGCCAATGCAGATGTCTACTTCTGCGGACAACATGAAAGCATAGATCCGTTCAACTGATGAAATGTTTGACTGGTCAGAAAGGACATCGGTGATGCTAGCTGTCAAGATGGTCGAATGTGGGATTTGGGCAAGAAGTAAAAAGATGAGAGTTGGCAAGAGTTTGAATGGCATGAGAAGAGAATGAGACAACAGTTAAGGGAGGTGCAAAAAAGGACATAAGACGTTACAATCGTAGAATATCATCGTTCTGTTGATAAGACGGTTTTGAGACAGTTTGAAGACAGTTGGAAGATTTAGCTGAATGCTGGAAGATTTAGCTGAACGCTGGAAGATTATTGTTACTTCTAGTTCTATCATTATTCCTACATAAATTATTTCATTCTTAAACACAATCATCACAATACACTCATTATATGATTTTAAAATAGTTTTTCATTAATTTAGTGATTATTTATTTATTAATAGTTTTTATTTAGAAACATGTAACATGTATTTGACAACTATTTCAAATATTTCTATAAATAACAAAATATTTATAGAAATTTTTATAATTTTTAAAAATTATTCTAATGCTTTTGATCTAATTCTAAACATCCCTAGAAATTCTCTCTCAATTATTGAACAATGCATAAATAAAAATAATTTGTTTTTTATAAATGTAAGAATAATTTTTTTCTAAAAGATTCATAAATTTATTATTATTATATAAAGGTATTTAAAATTTGAATATAACATTAAATAATTTCTTACCTATTACGACAAACAATAATAATAGCACAAATGATGATACATCCAACACCAATAGATATTCCTAGTACAATGCCAAGTAATGGATCTTGAGGTTCAACACTATAAACTGAATTAATTTTTTTTGCAATTAATTGAAAGATATGAATAATACATATATATTTTTTTATTTTAATGTAATTAATTAAACATATTTATAAATTATATTAGGTAAATAGAACCTTTTAATTTAAAAAATTTAAAGAAAAAATGCTAACAAAATAGTTCAAATTACATAATCTGAATGGATTCAAAGGGAAAAGAAGAAAAATATTTTATAATTTATTTTCATATTTTGCTAGTGATCTGCAATATTTCATAATGAAGTGCAAATGAAAATATCAATATTTTAAATCCTTAACACATTTATATTTCAAAAACCTTTACAAATGATAAATTATATATTTATAATAAATATTTCAAAAAAACTTTATATATACAAAAGTTATTTCCAATTCAGAATTAAAAAACAATATTGATTAATAAAAATTTATCAAGTTTTGAATATTGATTGATAAAAATCAATAGTGTTCTCAATATTGATTACAAAAGGCTTGTTCAACATTGCTGATTTCATTGTTCAATTTAATATTTAATCAAATACACTGGCAAATGTTATCAAATTATATAGAAAAAAATTTTTTTTGTTCCAGATAAATATTATAGCAATGAATAAAGAATATAACAATAAATTATTGCATCTTTATATATTTTTTCTTTACTTCTTTGAATTGAATTTGTATAAATGTAATATAAACTAATACAGAAGAAAAACTGTACAAAATACGCTGTATTCAGTTAATTATTAATAAACAATGCCAGATATTTTAATGTAAGTGATGAACAAATATTCCAAGAAAAGCATTTTAAAATTTTATTCAAACAATAACTAAACCCAAAACTTACAAACAAAGGATATTAATATGATATGAAAGATATATTTCATTATAAATTAATATACTCATATAAATAAATAAAATATTTCAAATAAAGCAACATAATTCAAAAAACAAAATGAAATAAGCTTTGTTTTAGAATAACAGAAAGAAAAATATAAATTCAGAACATTTTCATTAGAAATTCATATTCTAGAAGAAATTTCAAAATATATTTTTTTCTAAAATAAAAATTTAATTCAATGAAAAAATTATTTAGTAAAATATATAAATATAAAATATTCAAAACATAGAAGAGAATAAAGAATATAGAAAAAAAATAATAAGACTAGAATTGTTATCCTGACAGAAAGAAAATTGCTGCTGGAGAAAATTAAAAATCATAATAAATTATCATATTTGGTGGAAAATATTGTAATGCATGAAAAAAACAAAAAACAAAAGTTGTAGAAAACTTATTCTTCCAAATAAAATTATGCTATTTATTATAAAAAATAAATTAAACACTTTTATTAAATTAGTAAAAAATTATACGTATTTACTATATTTTTTAAAGTGGAATTTTCTTTTATATATTTTAAAGAAATGCTAATCAGAGAAATGATTCAGAAACAAATATCCTTTAAACAGAAAAACAATGTTATTAAAATATTACAGTTATTGTTTCAGGGATAAAAATTATTTGTTATTTATAAATAATAATAAATATGAAAATTAATAATGAAAGCTGTAGATGATGATGGAAGTTTCTTCAAAAAATTTCTTTTTCTTCTAAAACTAATTAATTCTTAATATATTACTGCATATCTATAAAACAATCAAAAATTGCAAAGTTAATATAATTACTTTATGCTAGTACAAATAAACAAGACTATTTATTTAAACATAAACAAGTTTATGTTTAAATAAATAATATTTTCAAGTTTAATGCCAAAAGTTTTTTATTTGTACTGGTGTATAATTTAGCATTGAGTGCATGGAAAAGAACTCTTGAAAATTTCTTTACTTTTTGAATACAAACTTTGAAAAGAAAATTATTTTGATATCAATATAAGTTCATTATATTCTAAAAAAATATATTTCATATATTTGTGATTACTTACTTTCTTTAGGAGACGATCTTGAATAATTGCTATGTCTTACTGGAATATTTAAACTGATTATTGGAGTTGATGGACCAGTTCCAGCTCTTGTTTCTGCTTTCATGCAAAAGTAATATAATGTATTGCTAGCTAATCCATTCACTAATGAGGACAGCTGTGATCCTATAAATAAAAATATCAATTTTTTATCAATTTGATTTATTGCATATTTTTAATTTATTTTATATAATTAAATATGTTTTAATCAAAATAAGATTTTTATCATAAAAATCTTCTTATTGATAATCCAGCAGTTCAGCAGTTGTTGTAAAATTAATTTACCTTGTTCTTCTTTAGTTGACCAATTATCAGGATGTACTTCATCATCTGTATGTTCACTATACAATATATAATAACTTATAATAATGCCATTTGGCCGAACAGGAATTTGCCAGTTTAATCTAACTGAATGTGCATCAACTGGTGTCCATGTTAAGTCTCTTGGTGCAGTAGGAACTGAGAAGATATTATTTTTATATATTAATGAATTATAATTTCTTTCGTTTAAAATATAAATTTTAATACAAAATAAATAGTAAGTATAATAATAACAGAAACATTTTTCATATGTCTCTATAAGAATGCAATTATTTAAAAAAAACAAAAAAAAACAATTTTTCCAATAATTATAATTTATTTATAAAATAAATTGTGAAATTAAGCATTAATTTTGACATTATTTTGATTCTGAATTGTAATAATCATTTTAATTAAAATATACTATATATTAATTGCAATTGTGAGGACCCAACTGAGGTCCAAAATCATGTAAATTGCGGTATTCTTATGATTAAATAATAGCGATAGATTAAATATGAGAGGGAGAGGAAAATCCCATAATTTAAACAATGCGGCACAAAATGTAAACAACGAGTCCCGGATGACTCCAACACGTGTTAAATAAACTGTTAATGTCAAAATGAAAAGTTATAAGTCAGACACAAGTGATCATAAACAGGTAGAACTTTGACCCAAGTGATCATAAACAATCAATCTAGGGAAACAATTTCAGAAAAAAGGAAAAGATTTAAGAGAGATAAATCATTGCATATGATTCGAGTACCCAGATGACAGAAATCGCGAGTTACGGAGCTAAATTATGAGCACGAGTCTTGCAATTTTGTCAACAATCCCCAAGAACAATCAACAGAAAGGCGTCGAGCAGACACCTGGAATCAGACCTTAACCATGACCCAAGTTGGTCTCAGTTTTCCCCAAAACAAGAGAGACCAATCGGGAAGCGAGGAAGGAGATGAGGGGCCAATCAAAAGTCTGAATAGTGGGAGAAAAATCTATAAAAATCCGAAATTTAAGATCGGAGGGAGGCTCTCCTACGTATTCCACAAAAGGTCGTGACTTATATTGTGGTGTGTCGTTGCCAAGAACTTTGGACTCCACCGCTTCCTCCTTCCGATCGTCTGCCTTGCTCATCGACTTCATCTCATCCGCCCTGGGGCCAGACAGACACCAAAATTCTCACCTCTCCGCATCTTCAACGAGAAGAACCTAGTGAAGGACTGTCAATTGTTGATAGAAGCATAAAATTTATGCTTCTAACACAATAAAGTGGTATAAATTAAGTGTCTTAATTTATACCACTTTATTGTGTTAGAAGCATAAACAAATTGTAAAGCACGATTTCATATCATCAAAGTAAGCATAAATGTTAACAAATAAACGGCTTTCTTTTGTAAAACACTTGTCATCATTTGCCTCCTCCGTCACAGCCCACATACAACCTTCCCTTAGGTTCATCCTGACACAGGATTAATAGATCCCACCTAGGAGACGGCAACCTTACATAGGTGCCGTGGAGTGGGTTTCAAGTCCCCTATCTCCACTGGGTCAGCTACCTTACACAATGTTTAACTACTAATTTTAATTCTTATTTGAAATCTTTCTTCTGATGTCATCAAAGACATTTTTTTAAATTCTGAAGATATTTTTCAATCTAAGCAGTCTATTCTCTCATGATCAAATAATAAGATCAGATTAAGTAGCATGCTAGAATATAAGAGCAGCATATGTAAATATCTAATATGTTAGTAATTCAACTTTTCTCAAATATTGTCAAAATACTAAATGTAGATGAAATTATCAATGTTATTGGATAAACAAATAAAATGTTCATTTAAGTTTATATTTCTTATTAGTTAAAAATTTATAAAAAGTATCTCATAAATCCAAATTTATTGAAATATCTTTCTCTTACCATAATACAATATATTTAATAAAAATGTTTTTATAAAATGAAATACATCTCGTATAAAATATAAATTAGCAGCAAAAATTAAAAACTAAACTAAACCTTATGTAATATGAAAGCAGCAAATATTAAATTTTTATAAGAGATGTTAATATATAAATACACACAAAAATATTTTTTTTAATAAAAATTTTGGAATCAAACTTATTTTATTCTTTTAATTTATTATTATTTTACAGAGTTATGGAGCTCTCCATCATTCAAGACATTGAAGACATAAGAAAACGGGAAAACACAAGCTGGTATGCAACAATTTTAAATTACCCAGTAAATAATAACTATATATTGACAAATCTAGCTTTTAACATCAAAAAGTTTTTTATACAGCTTAGGCTAAATAAATACGGAATAATTATAAATGATAAATATATAGACTATACCCAATCTAAATGTCCAAATTGTACTAAACCTTTATCTAGAGTTCATATTATATGTGAATGCTGTAATGAAAAAGATAAAATACAAAGGCTCCAAATGCAACCGCTAGTCAACTGTAATAGTGAGATGAAAATGTTTAAGACTTTTGACAGAGCTAATACTAACACGATTTATATGTTATATAACTATGTTAAACAATTTACTAAATGATAATTGTAACAAAATATTAATGTAAATTTAAAAATTAGCAAATAGAATATATTAATGTTAATAAGACGAAAAAAATTGAGATGTTAAATTAATACGCGTTTATGTAAAACTAAATGCCCTTGTAACAGGCGAAAGCCTATTACGACAAATAAAGATTATTATTATTATTATTATTATTATTATATTAATGATATTTATATAAAATTACTTGCTAAAAATATTTTATACAACATATACAATCTGTAATTAATAAACAATATGTAAATAAAATTTATTATTATTTTGGTTATGTAAAAATTAAATTTATTACAAATAATAATGTTGGACAGAACTTTTCAATTTAATTTTAAAAATTATTCAATTATCCTATTTAACTATAGCTAATCTATTTCATGTTATTTTGGCAAGAATGCTGTAAAATTCATATTCTATTTCTGTATTAGATAATATTGCCAAAAGAAGACAAAAAGTTTTTATTTTTAATCTGTTAAATGAACATTTTCAGTAGATTTGTTAATCTGGCCTCTCAATTATATGACATTAGATAATCCTCCAGTGTCACCTGTGGACTTCCATTTCATGAAAATGTGAATTTAGTCATGTTACACATCCTGTTTACTCAGGTTTCATTTCTGTGTACAGTACCTGCATGTCAGCACACCATATTATTTGCCTGCCTGCCTCAAAAAAGAATCAGTACCAAGGAGTTACAGATCACATCATTCATTGCCTTTGGGCACACTATAGGCCTATGCACTCACAGTAATCTGGAACCTCTCTGTTTAAGGAGTGACTGATTAGATTCTACTGCATATATATATTTGTATACAAAAACTTTATATAAATAATATTTTATATTTTCAAATAATGTAAAAATTTTCTCTTTCACAAATTGAAAAATATAAAAAAATTTAAAACTCATTATTTATATTTTTAACAATATTTCTTATTTATGTCATTCAAAGAAGTTGTCATATGCAATAACTGACAATAACTGATAATTTTAAAAACATATATATCAATATTAATTTTTTTAGATATATTTTAAATTATGACTGTATATTAGTAGTCAGAACTGTACATTAATATTAATAGTACTGTAAAGTAATTCATTTTACATTATTTTCTCATTACATTAATTAAATGTGTTTTTATTTTTAAACATATTTTTAAATTATAATTATTAAAAACATATGAGATGAAGAAGTGAAAATAACACCTAACCTTCTAATTTTTTGAATTTATTATTTTAATTAGATATAACTTTTTATTCATTTTATGAATAGAAATACAGTATTTCATAATCACTAGTTTAATTCTTATAAAATCATGTATAAAAAAATAGTTTGAAAAAGTTTTAAGTATTAACTTACTATCTTCTTTTGTTTTACACTCTACTTTCATTCCAAATGGGCCTTGTTGATTTTTATAATCATGTGAACTCACAGAAAATTCATATAGAGTAAATGGTAATAAGTCTGTTATCATTACTTCTTTATTAGTACTAAAATAAGAAAAAAAAATTAAAATTTATTAATCACTAAATTAATTATATAAATAGCTGTTATTCATTCAAAGTAAAATTTACCATCTGATGTAGGATATAGAGGAAGCATTTATTTCTCCAGTGCTATAAACTGGATGATACTGAACAGTATAATAACTGATATTTTTATTTATAATTGGAATTTCCCATATTAAATGAATACTTGTAGAACTAGTAGGATTTGCTTCTAAATGATGAGGAGGTTCTATAACTAATCAAAAAACTTCTTATCAGTTTTGATACTTTATAATTTAAATTTATAAAGAGTTATTACTTTGTTAATTTNTGCTATAATGCTGGTGAAGTATTTCCTACATAGCATATATACTGGAACTTAAAGCCTTGCTAGACCAAAGTCAATGCATAATTACAGAAAACAAATGTTTTGTTTATGTGCTGTTCAAGTATATAACTGTACTAAAGGATTTCCTAACTGTGGCCTATATTTAGTAAAGTAGCTTTCTGTAGTGTGCTGATTTATATGCTAGTGTGAAGCCCTCATGTTTCTAGACTTTTGTGGTGTGTGTGGTATGACATTACGCAAGATAAGAATGCTGGCACATTAAGTATCTTATCCATTCTTCTCCATAGATGCTTAATTTTATGGGCAAATTCTGAATATTTACTAATTTTTCAGTGTATATATTTTGTACGTTGCAAGTGTTGAAAAAGATATGTCTATGATGTTTATGATTTTATTTTCCTTGTCAATGACTGTAATGTCTGATCTGTTGTGATGTATTGTTTTTCTCTGATTATGGCATAGTCACAGTATATTTTTGTATGTATTGGTTTCTGTGACCACCTGAAATATGTATTTTATAAATGCTCTTTTTCTAATATACAGGTAACCCCCGTATAACACGGTAGTTATGTTCCAAAAAATTGCCGTGTTATGCGGATCCGTGTTATACGAAACAAAGAACTAGTATGAAAAGGAGGGTTAGGTTCCAAAAATTAAAAAATATGCTATAATATTTTCATAATTAAAATAAAATATCTTTATTAAAATTTTCTTAAATGATACATAATAATATAAATTAAACAATGTTTTCTTTGTCATCACTAAAAACACTATTAATCGAGAGCATTTTCTTTTTGGCAAGTCATCCTTATCCTCTGAGTATTTTTCTGCATTATCTTCAGATCCATGCTTTACCTTTTGCAAAATGTATGTAATTTTAGATTGCTTGCTTCTAGTTAAAAGGTCTTTATAAATTTCCTTATATGGTGCTAAGCACTTATGAAGAATAAAGCAAGTATGGAATAAGGGAAAAACATCTGGCAACATCAGAAGCAGAAGCGTTGAGATCTGGCAACATTGAAACAAGTTTCGAGAAGGACCATGTGTATCGACAGAAGGAAAATAAAATTTACATACTTAAGTATTAATAGTTCACAAAAATAATAATTTTCATGAACTATTATTTCTTAAGTATGTAAAAATTTATTACATTTCATGTTGTACGAGGGTTTTACCCAATTCTCGAACTGTGTCAGAGTGAATCCATGCTATAGAAGTGCCGTGTTATAAGGGGGTTACCTGTACTATATATGTATATATTAGCAAATAATTTTTTTTGCAATGAAAATATAAAATTATATATAATTATTATTTCTTTCCTATTACTCTTTCTTATAAATAATTTTAAAATAATAAAAGAAAATGTGATAAGAAATATGCTACATTATAACTCTATAATTAAAATTTATTTTATTTCAATAAATATGATTTTAATATAAAACCTTTAAAACTTACCCTCAACAATTTCTACATCTGGATGATCTTCTGGCAAAGTCAGTATATTTCTAACTGATTCATTTCCTTCACCTTGGTCATTATAAGCTGATAAATGAACCTCATACCATGTTTCTGGAGCTACATTTAGAAAATACATAATATTAAAATTAATGCGACAAGAATAAATCTTTCAAAAAGCAGAAAAACAGCTTTTTTAAAATGACAATTTGTATAATTAATTTTTCTCATTAAGCATTAAGAAGTTAGAAATTATATTGCTAAATATTTATTATGCATTTTCACAATAAATAAATTCCATCAGAATTTCATACAGCAGACTAGAAACAAACTTTTTTTATTTTTAAAATTACACAATACAATAGTATATTGTATTCTATTAAACAAAATTCATAATTTTAAATTAGCAAAATAAAACAGAAAAACCAAAATTAAAAACAAAATTAAATTTTTTATATTAAATGAAATATTTGATATAATCTAATTAATAAAACTATAACTAGTACAACAGAACCCTAATTATCCAAGGTAATGTGGATCAATGGTATCTCAGATAACTGAAAACTCAGATAAATGGACAGCTACAATCATTTTAGATTAAAAATTACAAATATAAAAGATTTATGTGATATATCACTTTTAAGCTTTCTTTTATACATTAGTGAATTTTTACATCATTTATTATACAACTAATATACATACAATAATTTAAGAATAAAATGTGTATCATTATAGTTACATTTTAACATCAGTAATATAGCCAACAGCCAAACATGGCTGTTGGCTATATTACTGATGATAGAAAAAAATCATTCCCATACATTTATTATAATGATTATTTATAAATCAGCAAGTGCCTGTACTTATGGTGTTGGAAAATATTGTGATATTTCCAAGTCAGAATTTCCTAAAATTTCAGTATTCCTAAGAAATTTATGAGTAAACACAAGCACTGATATTGATATATGATTAAGCTTACCATAATATTTTTTCTCAAACCAAGACAATTTTGAGAAAATACTCGCAACAGAAAATTAGCCTACTAGGATAAGTACTGTACCTATGATTGAAAAGGCTAAATAAAGTAGTTGTTAATAAAAACAACAAGTTAAAAGCAACTTTTTATAACTGAACTAAACATATCTTATTATTAATATTTAACACTAGTGTGAACTTTTTTAAAAATTCTTTATCATTTAAATCAGTACATTTAAAATATGACAATACATTTGAGGAAGCTACTATTGCTTGCCTTATGTTTCACACATTTCAAGTGATTTTTAATGTTTGAATGCCCACCTTGAGTTACTGAAAATTCTGAAAAGCACAGTTCATATTTCACTTCATCAATATGATCACAGACTTATTTCAATCATCAGTAAACACATGGTTTCTCTTTGGCATTTTAGAGATTAAATGAATTTAATATACTGTACAAAATAATTGCAAATGCCAATCAGCAATTTGAACTTGATTAAGATGTGGCATGCTCAGCAATGACATGGCCAGTGTAAGTTTCAGTCTTGCCAACTCTAATTGAAATCCAAAATATCTAAAAAAAATTAAATAAAAATATCTGGATCTCATAGGCTACATACTATTATAAATTCTGTGAAAAATTATCTGAATGACAAAATAAAAAATCTAAATTCATTAGGCCATATGCTATAAATTTTTGAGGAAAACATATAAACAACATTAAAAGTACTTAGATATAGATACAAAATATTTAGATTGGCAACAGTAAGTGTAACAGAGGGGTAAGTGCCAAATCGCCATTTTACTCGAGGCTGCACTATTTTTACTTCTTGTATATTTGGCACTTTTAAAAATTTACCAAATAACAGGGACAAAATGACAAACTGGCCAGATGCTGGGACAACATCGTCAAACCAGGACAATCCCGGTCAAAACGGGATGTCTGGTAAGCCTATATATGATAATATTAACAGCAAGATTAATTAAGATATAAAATAGAGGAATAACTAATTAATTTAAAATATCAGCATTAAAATATTTTTTAAACTTTTTCTTTTTTTAGAAAAATTAGCTTTTGGACATTAATCTATAACACATCTTACAATAAAATAATCAAATTTTAAGATATATAATACATAATAAAATTTTAGATAAACAGTAGCTCTTCATTTATCACTATTGTTAAATAAAATTCATTCAATTACTCATTGATTTAAGTAAAACATAAACAAACAAACATTTTTCCTTGATGAAGATTTCAGTATTATATATTTACAGATTTATTGATTATACTATTTCTCATATTATAATAATGTTTTGTTTTGAATATAATCTGACAATGCTTTAAATATTAAAATTATTATAATAAATTTTTTGTTTAATTGTATAATTAAAGATATAGTGTTGCCAATAAATATTCACAGATTTATATAGTATAACTTAAGATAGATGTTCAGCACAATCCACATAAACAAATTTTGAATGAAATTTGTTCAATATATTACAGACTTAAGCACTAAATTCTCAGTTATTTTCAATAATTGGAAATGAATGAGAATGATATTGTAATTAGAAATAATAATCTGTGTTAAATAATTTTCAGGTTTGGTTTAGTTTATTTGGTTACAGCAATGCAACATGTGGGCAATCTAACAACAGTTTTTTTCTTTTTTTACCCTTTCCGTGCTGTGGGCACTAAGAGGGCCTCTTTTTGCAAGCCCATTATGGGTTTGGCCAGGCCCACAATGGGGCTGCCGGGTGGTGAGGGACGAGACCCAACATATCCGAACGAACCACCCCCCAAAAAAAATTCCTAGGGATTTTTCGACCCGTTTGGATTCGAACCCAGGTCCCCCAGAGTGGTAGGCTGCCACCTTGACCGCTCGGCCATCCGGCTGCAATCTACCAAGAGTGTAGCGTATGCCTCCCAGGAGGACTTTTATGGGAATTGGCCCTTATTTAGATGTTACAAATGTGAATAAACCTGGAAAACTGCATGCCATCAGACCATTGGTGAAGCGCAAACCCACAACCAATCATTTATGTTCTGTGGTTTTATGCACTCACCCACTGGGTCTAAAAATATATTTTTTCAACCAAAGGTTTAACTCAAAATATTTTAAAATTTTTATAATTTTTAAAATAAATTTATTAAAATTAGTATATCTCAATACCTAAATCAGTAATTAAAAACTTGGTCATGTTGGCAGGAACATCAATTGGACCTTTTAATGAATGGCTTCGTTGACGATAATATAAAAGAAATCCATCAACAGGATGCCTATTTTCATCTGGCATTGACCATTCTGCTTCCAAAGCAGTTGTATTAATAACTGTTAAATGCAAGATTGGTGGCATTGGCACTAAAACAGATTTTAAGTAATAATAAAATATTATTATCTGACAATACAAATACTGATAAATAAATTATGTATAAACTTTAATAAACACTATTTTCACACAAATTCAAAAATATTATTACAAGATTTAAAATACTTAAAATTTTCAAAATAAAATATTGTAGAATTGTACTCCATATAAAAATATGACACATGAAATATACGAAACAATAATATGAATTTAGCCCAATTAATTAAAATGATACATTTTTAAGATTATTACCTAAATTACAATAGTGTGAATTAATATTATCCACTAAATATTAATATATTAGTGGATAATAATATGTTAAAATATTAAATATTAAGATATATATTAAATAAATTATTATTATCCACTAATCCACTAAATTTAATCCTGACTTTCAATGAAATAAAAAATTTAGTATGTCTTATCTGATTACATCTGATTATGTGTTAAGTCTGACACAATACTAGTACAAGCTATTAATTTCATAATAAAAAACACTTACATTTTGACTTTATTAAACCTTTCATTAAATTATCACTAAATATTTTAGTAACAAATTTAAATTGCTATTAAGAGCTAACTAAAATTTTTAATAAATTAAATTTTATGAAAATTATAGTCAAACTCATATTAATACGAATTGTTAGTGGAATAGTAGTTAGTTCACTTTATCAAAAATTCTTATTAATGATTTTCAGGATCAAACTCAAGATTGTATAATTTACAGAGTTAAGGATTAATATACAATTGAAATCTCTTAAATTACAATATTTTGAATTAATTTACTAAATCAACTTAAATAAAATAATATTTATTTACAAAAATAAATTAATTTAAATGATTTTCAAATCAAACAAAATGAGGAGGAGACAGTACTTTCCATTGTGGAGCAGTATATCAGAATGCTTAAACAAAGCAAAGCTAAAAGAAACCAATGACTTTTTTCCTGTTGATGACATATTCTATTTTAGATAACAAAAATGAGTAAGAAAATCTGCAGTAATAGAAAACAGAATAGGAAGAGCAAACATTAAAAGGTTTTCGATATAATTACAGAATTTAACTATTATATTTAACAGAAATGTCCTCAAAAATCTAATGAAATTTAATAATAATAATAGTTTTATAAAGTTAATACTAAATTTATTTAACATAAATATAACAATCTTGATTAATTTTCAAAAAGTTTAACTCCATATTAAGTTCAATAATCAATTCTATTTTCATTAGATTAAAATATTTTATATAGTTACCAGTAGCAGTTATAGCATCAGGCATTTCATGTACAACCCAAGGCCATTCTTCATCAGAAAGAACAGGAAAGCCTATTTTTGTTCTTGCCATTACACGAACATCATATTTCTTTTTTGGTTGAAGACCTTGCAATTGTTAAAATATTATATGATAATTAAAACTAATATTATATTATACATATATATTTTTTTAGTTTACTATTAAAAATTCTCTATATTTTCCATTAATTTCAACAAAAATATTTAATTATATAAAAATCATATATCATACCAGTAATTGTATAATCCTTAATATTTTCTGCTACATCTATAACACTATAGGATGCTTGATTGTGTCTACGATAATGAATACGATAAGAAATCACTACACCTCGAGAATTTTCTGGAGAAAGTTGATCCCATGTAACATGTAATGTTGTTGGTGTTAGACTATTCACTGTTATACTAGGTGCAGTTATTGGTACTGAAATTAAAATTACAGAATTTAATTGCATAATTATATAATGATATCTTCTTAAACATTAACTTTCTAAACATTTAATGTTTTAATTATTATAAATATCAAACTAAACATCAAATCACTTCAGATATTTCTAAGATTTGTTTAAATTAATATAGAGATATTTCATATATATGGTAACTTAAAATTTATAATAAGCTACTATCATTCAAAGATGATAGATAATATATTATATGATTACAGCACTATGTAAGGTTTGTAGATAAACATTAAATAACTATTTTTCTTCCCTGAAGGATTTTGAAACATNTCAAAAATTGCAAAGTTAATATAATTACTTTATGCTAGTACAAATAAACAAGACTATTTATTTAAACATAAACAAGTTTATGTTTAAATAAATAATATTTTCAAGTTTAATGCCAAAAGTTTTTTATTTGTACTGGTGTATAATTTAGCATTGAGTGCATGGAAAAGAACTCTTGAAAATTTCTTTACTTTTTGAATACAAACTTTGAAAAGAAAATTATTTTGATATCAATATAAGTTCATTATATTCTAAAAAAATATATTTCATATATTTGTGATTACTTACTTTCTTTAGGAGACGATCTTGAATAATTGCTATGTCTTACTGGAATATTTAAACTGATTATTGGAGTTGATGGACCAGTTCCAGCTCTTGTTTCTGCTTTCATGCAAAAGTAATATAATGTATTGCTAGCTAATCCATTCACTAATGAGGACAGCTGTGATCCTATAAATAAAAATATCAATTTTTTATCAATTTGATTTATTGCATATTTTTAATTTATTTTATATAATTAAATATGTTTTAATCAAAATAAGATTTTTATCATAAAAATCTTCTTATTGATAATCCAGCAGTTCAGCAGTTGTTGTAAAATTAATTTACCTTGTTCTTCTTTAGTTGACCAATTATCAGGATGTACTTCATCATCTGTATGTTCACTATACAATATATAATAACTTATAATAATGCCATTTGGCCGAACAGGAATTTGCCAGTTTAATCTAACTGAATGTGCATCAACTGGTGTCCATGTTAAGTCTCTTGGTGCAGTAGGAACTGAGAAGATATTATTTTTATATATTAATGAATTATAATTTCTTTCGTTTAAAATATAAATTTTAATACAAAATAAATAGTAAGTATAATAATAACAGAAACATTTTTCATATGTCTCTATAAGAATGCAATTATTTAAAAAAAACAAAAAAAAACAATTTTTCCAATAATTATAATTTATTTATAAAATAAATTGTGAAATTAAGCATTAATTTTGACATTATTTTGATTCTGAATTGTAATAATCATTTTAATTAAAATATACTATATATTAATTGCAATTGTGAGGACCCAACTGAGGTCCAAAATCATGTAAATTGCGGTATTCTTATGATTAAATAATAGCGATAGATTAAATATGAGAGGGAGAGGAAAATCCCATAATTTAAACAATGCGGCACAAAATGTAAACAACGAGTCCCGGATGACTCCAACACGTGTTAAATAAACTGTTAATGTCAAAATGAAAAGTTATAAGTCAGACACAAGTGATCATAAACAGGTAGAACTTTGACCCAAGTGATCATAAACAATCAATCTAGGGAAACAATTTCAGAAAAAAGGAAAAGATTTAAGAGAGATAAATCATTGCATATGATCNAGAGGGCCTCTTTTTGCAAGCCCATTATGGGTTTGGCCAGGCCCACAATGGGGCTGCCGGGTGGTGAGGGACGAGACCCAACATATCCGAACGAACCACCCCCCAAAAAAAATTCCTAGGGATTTTTCGACCCGTTTGGATTCGAACCCAGGTCCCCCAGAGTGGTAGGCTGCCACCTTGACCGCTCGGCCATCCGGCTGCAATCTACCAAGAGTGTAGCGTATGCCTCCCAGGAGGACTTTTATGGGAATTGGCCCTTATTTAGATGTTACAAATGTGAATAAACCTGGAAAACTGCATGCCATCAGACCATTGGTGAAGCGCAAACCCACAACCAATCATTTATGTTCTGTGGTTTTATGCACTCACCCACTGGGTCTAAAAATATATTTTTTCAACCAAAGGTTTAACTCAAAATATTTTAAAATTTTTATAATTTTTAAAATAAATTTATTAAAATTAGTATATCTCAATACCTAAATCAGTAATTAAAAACTTGGTCATGTTGGCAGGAACATCAATTGGACCTTTTAATGAATGGCTTCGTTGACGATAATATAAAAGAAATCCATCAACAGGATGCCTATTTTCATCTGGCATTGACCATTCTGCTTCCAAAGCAGTTGTATTAATAACTGTTAAATGCAAGATTGGTGGCATTGGCACTAAAACAGATTTTAAGTAATAATAAAATATTATTATCTGACAATACAAATACTGATAAATAAATTATGTATAAACTTTAATAAACACTATTTTCACACAAATTCAAAAATATTATTACAAGATTTAAAATACTTAAAATTTTCAAAATAAAATATTGTAGAATTGTACTCCATATAAAAATATGACACATGAAATATACGAAACAATAATATGAATTTAGCCCAATTAATTAAAATGATACATTTTTAAGATTATTACCTAAATTACAATAGTGTGAATTAATATTATCCACTAAATATTAATATATTAGTGGATAATAATATGTTAAAATATTAAATATTAAGATATATATTAAATAAATTATTATTATCCACTAATCCACTAAATTTAATCCTGACTTTCAATGAAATAAAAAATTTAGTATGTCTTATCTGATTACATCTGATTATGTGTTAAGTCTGACACAATACTAGTACAAGCTATTAATTTCATAATAAAAAACACTTACATTTTGACTTTATTAAACCTTTCATTAAATTATCACTAAATATTTTAGTAACAAATTTAAATTGCTATTAAGAGCTAACTAAAATTTTTAATAAATTAAATTTTATGAAAATTATAGTCAAACTCATATTAATACGAATTGTTAGTTATAAAATTACTTGCTAAAAATATTTTATACAACATATACAATCTGTAATTAATAAACAATATGTAAATAAAATTTATTATTATTTTGGTTATGTAAAAATTAAATTTATTACAAATAATAATGTTGGACAGAACTTTTCAATTTAATTTTAAAAATTATTCAATTATCCTATTTAACTATAGCTAATCTATTTCATGTTATTTTGGCAAGAATGCTGTAAAATTCATATTCTATTTCTGTATTAGATAATATTGCCAAAAGAAGACAAAAAGTTTTTATTTTTAATCTGTTAAATGAACATTTTCAGTAGATTTGTTAATCTGGCCTCTCAATTATATGACATTAGATAATCCTCCAGTGTCACCTGTGGACTTCCATTTCATGAAAATGTGAATTTAGTCATGTTACACATCCTGTTTACTCAGGTTTCATTTCTGTGTACAGTACCTGCATGTCAGCACACCATATTATTTGCCTGCCTGCCTCAAAAAAGAATCAGTACCAAGGAGTTACAGATCACATCATTCATTGCCTTTGGGCACACTATAGGCCTATGCACTCACAGTAATCTGGAACCTCTCTGTTTAAGGAGTGACTGATTAGATTCTACTGCATATATATATTTGTATACAAAAACTTTATATAAATAATATTTTATATTTTCAAATAATGTAAAAATTTTCTCTTTCACAAATTGAAAAATATAAAAAAATTTAAAACTCATTATTTATATTTTTAACAATATTTCTTATTTATGTCATTGGTNACGATAATGAATACGATAAGAAATCACTACACCTCGAGAATTTTCTGGAGAAAGTTGATCCCATGTAACATGTAATGTTGTTGGTGTTAGACTATTCACTGTTATACTAGGTGCAGTTATTGGTACTGAAATTAAAATTACAGAATTTAATTGCATAATTATATAATGATATCTTCTTAAACATTAACTTTCTAAACATTTAATGTTTTAATTATTATAAATATCAAACTAAACATCAAATCACTTCAGATATTTCTAAGATTTGTTTAAATTAATATAGAGATATTTCATATATATGGTAACTTAAAATTTATAATAAGCTACTATCATTCAAAGATGATAGATAATATATTATATGATTACAGCACTATGTAAGGTTTGTAGATAAACATTAAATAACTATTTTTCTTCCCTGAAGGATTTTGAAACATTATTTAATTAATTTTTGATTTTGTTAGTAAAGTCAATAATCTTATATTGTTATATACAGAGATTATGTAAAGTACAGTAGAGTCTCGAAAACTCGGCCTAATGTGGACCGAAGGGTGGCCGAGTTTGTGAAAATGCCGGGTTATCGGGAATGGGGTTAAAAAAGATAAGTATGCGTGTTTCCTCAGAAAATATTGTACTGTACTTGTATGTATTGTTTGCTTGAGAATACAACAGAAAATAAACCGCCCAAATACCCTTAAACAAAGGAAAAGTACATCCTTCATGAAGGCATAGAGCCTTTACTACATGAAAATGAAAATTAATGAATACACTGTGTACGGTAATTTACCTGATAAGACAGACCTCAGAAAAATACTTTATGAGGTATAAAGCTGTCTATAATGAAAATTAATTAACTAAGGATTTTTTTGCCCTGCCAAGGTGTGGCCGAGTTATCCGGAGTGCCGGGTTATCAAGTGCCGAGTTTTCGAGGCTCTACAGTATTTAATAAATTAAAAATATTACATACAATAAAAAAAACAATAATAATAGATTTTATTTTATCATTCAGACAATGACAACAATCTATTGATTAAATAAATATTTATATTTATTATACTGAAACTATATTGAATTTATTTCATCACATTATATTACTTTTATTTTTAAAAAATCCTCATTAAATTTAATTTCAACCATTGTTTCTTTTAATGGTAAAAGATTTAATCACTGAAAACACTCAACTGAGAGAAGATTATAGTTCTAGAAATTTATCAGGTTTTTTATAAGCATTTTAATGTACTTTATCTACAAATTTCTTTGTATTATTTAATTTTTTTAGAATTATTCCTCCAGCTTTAAAAATCTGTAATGTGTACCATTTCAAAGCTATAAACTTCAATAAACTACAAGAACACTTGCTAAGAGTATAATGTCTGCTGGGCTAGTCCATTGTTATATCGTGTTACTAATTCTGTTTACTAATTAATATGAATATTTATGTCCACCCATTGGATATTTTTAAACTTTTATAAAATAATGGTCATTAGATTATATTATTTTGAATATATATATATATAAATGAAGATGTTTGTTTGTTTGCTATGCACAACTAGGATGTTTGACTAATTGCTACAAAACTTGGCAGTTACATTCACATACTTCTAACTTAGATAATATCATACATCCCATCCCAAAATATTGATTGAATTTCTATATATCAATTAATTTCTGTCTACATTAATTTGCTGGCTTTACATGTAGCATCAAACTAATAAAACTATATATAATTCTTACAAAAACGAATATAATTTTTAAAAATATATATTATAATCACTTAATTACTGCAACAATAAAACAAAACAGATGCACTATTACGCAACATTACACCATTACTGTGACAGGTAGCATATAGCACTTGCCTGCATAGTGTTTTGTCCCTGTACATCACACTTTTCCTGTTAGCAATAGAGTTATGCTGGTTATGTATCTAACTCCATTTAGTAGAAAATTTTTAAATTGAAATAACACAATTTCCCGTGTAAACTGGAAGTTCATATATAGTTAATCTGGGTCTCCTGCTCTTAAGCTTCCTATATCTGGTCTTGACATTCATCTATCTAACTGTTCTCGAGATGAAGGATAGAGAGACAGACAGACAGACAACAGTGGAAATTTATAGGTCTATAATTTTTTCAAATTGCAACCCAATTAGTACCCTCCAATAGCTGAGTCTATAAAACCACTGAACACCAGTAGTCAGTTGTGGGTTTACACATTGCCAACAGACTGGCCACATGGAGTTTTCTGATTATATTAATAATACCTAAATACTGGCCAGCTTTACATAAGTCTTCCCAGGATGCATCCTCCTTGGCAGATCACTCATATATCACATTGTTGTAACCAAACAAATGAAATCAATTCTAATAATTTTTCTATAAATGTGATATTTACAAGGATATACTTAACTACCACACAACCAGCCAAATAAATTAATTCAGCCAAATTAATTAATTTAATGTACTGTACAGTACATGCAATGATTTTAAGGCACAAAGTAGGGCTGAAAGTCTTTTTCTGTGCAGATATTTATTTTTCTAATTTATTATCATGGCAACATTGCTTTGTTCAAAATTTCCTGTAATTATAGTTTGAGTAATGTGCACTTTATACACATGTTGAATCTTACTGTCAAATCTGCATCCACTATTCTTATGCCACAAGTTTCAAAAGTTTCCTCTACTTAGATGTTTTTGATGGGCTTTACTTTTTCAACTTGGTTTCACCAATTATTTTATGGAATCATATAAAAACAATTATTCTCACATTTTTACAATATTTTTTTCTATTTAAACAAATCTTATATGAAGTCTTTTGGATGTTAAGGTTAGCAACTTCAATCACATGCAGGGCCATCACAACCTATACAACACAGATCACTTTTGAAATATTAATACAGTAGAGCATCGATTATCCGACTCAATTGGGGACTGGGGTTGGTCGGATAACTGAAAAAACGGATAACCGAAAAATATGAAAAAATACATTATTAGTATAATATATTAGTATATCCCATGTGATTAGTATAATAGTATATCGCTATTAACCTACTTCGAGTTGAATTTTTATCGATGTTAAGCCTAACAAAAATTTTTTTAAATAATAATCGTCACTATTGTATCGTTAAAAATTAGAAAATTAAGCCTCTTTTAAATACTGGCTCCCTTTCATGGTCAAGCCAGTGTTGCTAGCTAAAACACGTAAAATAATATTAAAGTAGCCAAGACATAGCCAAATATTGTAGCGCCACATTACTAGCGGACATTTGAATTTGCCGACTAGAGCGGTCGGTTAACCGATGTGACGGTTGATCGGGGGTCGGATAATCGATGCTCTACTGTAGTAGACCAGTATAAATTAGTAGTCGTTGACCATCCTCTCTTCCAGGAGGAGTCAACTATTACTTTTGGTCAAATTTACTTCATTCTCCTTCTGCAACACTCCCTTCTTCTTGTTGAACCCAGCAGTATGGTGGCATTTGAATAAGAAAGTTACATAATACAAAGTTACCAGCAAGCACAAAATACGATTTAAGTGGATTTTGAGGGTGCCAAGTTTAAATATTTAGTCCATTTTTCACAAAATTTGATTCATTGGTAGATTATCATTTAATATTTGGCTGTGAATTGAACAATTTGTTGGAGCTAATATTAGAAAAAATGTTGTCTACTTGACCAATGAATTTGTGCCATTTTGTACCATCCAAGTATCACAATAAACACGACAATGATAGGCTAAAATAACCAACTCTTTATAAAATTTTCATTTTAATGTTTCTTATATTATAGTATTTAATAACAACAAATGTTATCTTACATAAGGGCTTATCATACCAAGTGACCAATCTAACACATTTTAAAAATTCTTTAAATTGTGTACAGTAGAGAAATATAGAATTTTAAAAATGTGTTAGATTGATCACTTGGTGTGATAAACCCTAATGTAAGATAACCTTTGTAGTTATATAAACCAAATACTATAATAGAAGGGGTTAGTAGTATGAAAGAATTGAATAATTTTAATGTTTGTTCTTATTTTTTCTGGACAATGCTGGGCTTACATGCTAGTTTTATATGCATAAACCTTGTTAAGTCAAAATTTAAGAGGAAAAAATTCCAACTTTAGGTTGAAAGTTTAATACCCCAATTTTCTCAAATATATCTGTAGTTGTAAATTTCCCATTATCAAGTTATTCCTCAAGAATTTGGTCACAGAATTATTACAAAATCATACACAGTTTATGGCACTTTTGAGTGTGTTGTCAAGGCACTCCCTTTGATATAAAAGTTTTGACTATTTCAACATAATGAGACTATATTATATGGAAAATCCTATATACTGTGCCCAGGACATGTAGACAACTCTGAGCTACTGCAGTTTGACTAGCAAGGTCTTATTGCATATATACAGTGATACCTCGCTTAACAAGCACCTCGCATAACAAGTATTTTGCATAACAAGCAAAACATATTGTAAATAAAGACTTGCTTAACGAGTGATGTTTCACATAACAAGTGATAAGGAGAGGGGAAGTCCCAGATTGTGCACATGCTTCATCAGTCTGTGTTTAGCACTTGTTCTGCTAGCATCTTACTGTTGCTTGTAATCACATATTTTTCCAAACTTGTGTTCACACATATTACATATAAACATCAACAACCATAGTCTGTTATATAATAAACACATTGAACGATATGCCAAATTCTTGGGGTATGTAAAGGCTATAATTAAATAGTAGTAATTAATTAATTTGACTAGAGGTAGGCAGTTATGCTGCCATCTTGTAATAAATTTAATGACCAATTCCAAATTAAATTTTAGAAATGTCTAAATTAAAAATTAATTATGAATGTGAGATCCGGAATTTTTACCGATTATTTGACGAATTAATTGTCCGTATTTGCCTAAAATCTAATTAAATTTTCCTTTAACTTAAAGTGAAACCTAACGAAAAAAAATTTTCCTTTATGTTTGACATAAACATCCGTTCATTTCGAAACTAATCCCACATTCCAACTGCTAAGTTGATAGTTAGCATGGTCCCGGAACAACTTTGACCCATCCGTGTACCTTTTACCTCACAACAATTGGTCACATGACCATTCTCCCACGACAAACTTATAAAAACCCC